TGAAACAAACCCTTATTAATTTACATGGGTGTTTCTAGACAGAACAAATACCATGGATTTGAATTTTCATTTTGGGGCTTTTCTTGACAAATGGCTGGAAGTTCCTCCCCTAGGGGTGGTGGAAGGCATCTTTTATTAGGCAGTTTGTACTTTGCCAAGCTAGCAGAGTATGTCAAGGCTAGCAGATCCTGATAGCGGAGAATGTCAAGGCTAGCAGCTCCTGATAGCAGAGAATGTTAAGACTAGCCTTGGTCTAAGAAGATACTAAGAAGTTGTGATGGAGCATAACAGAAATCTAGCAGCACATTGAAAAAGTGAACACTGCCTAGTGCGTTCAGATGGATGTGCTGTGCATACAAAGTAGTTTGGAATTTAAACACAGAGTATTTTAAATTTAGTAGGAGGTGAGACTACAGGTTTCAATTGTGTTTCTCCAGAAGCAGATCGCGATCAAGGAGTTACTCAAGATCTCGCAGCAGGTCCAGGTCTACAGGATCTTCTAGATCGGACAGCCGGTCCAGGTCCAGGTCAAGATCAAGGTCCAGGTCCAGGTCTCGCTCTCGATCCCGGTCCCGATCTCGATCTCGGTCTCGTTCTCGCAGTCGTACACCTAAAAAGAGTTACTCCCAGAAAAGCCACCGCTCCAGCTTGCTAGCTTCTTCCCCATCTCCCTCTGCTTCTAAGAGAAAATCTCGTTCTAGGTCGAGCTCTGCTCATAGCCGTAGTTAACCTGCTTTTAGAGATGTCTTAATGCATTTAATTTGATTCAAGTTTCTTGAAGACTTGAGGCAAATTGTACATGAGAACTGGGAGGGGAAGAGTTAACATGATGAAAGGGTAACCTCCTCTTACATTGCCAAAGTGCCTGTCATCAAATAGGCCATCTCTGTGAGGAGGGGCTCTCAGCTTTCTCCTTTCAGTGAAGTCTGGAGTGGGAAGTCGCCTTTATTTTTTTTTTCCCTGCTATTAGTAAACATTTCTATCATAGATAAATTACATACACATAATGCTGAGGTAATGGGATGAGACAATATGCTGCTTTCTCCCTTTCTTGTTCTCCACTTCCCCTCTCCACCTCCAAGGCCTTTGACTTCCAAAATACTATGTTAGCTTTTGTCCTTGGTATTAAGTCCGAGAACAGGAAGTATAGATTTTATTCCTTTAAGGTTCTGTGGCTACTTTTGTGTGTGAGAATGAATGGACCAGCTGAATTTAGTTTAGAGTTCACTTTTTTTTCCCTGTTGCTTGGCTTAACAGGCTGTTTAAGTTCCAACTTTTAAATGACCTTGATAATATGTTTAATTTGACAAAGACGATCAGGAATATACATTGGTTAGTTGAGTGTTGCTCATTTGGATCGTGAATCAATACAATGTTAAGCAGTAATGAAAGCTGGAATTTCCCATTAAAATGAGACATACCATCTGGATGTCAGGACTGTTGGGAATCCATTATAATAATTTTCCAGTAATTCAGTAGTATGTGGTATTGTATGTAGAGGCCTTATTTGACAGGTGACTCCATAAAACTGCACAGAAATGTCAATATGCATGTCCATGTTTTTGATGTTTATAAAAGTGACATAGCTTTCATACCCAAAAGTATGATACTGAATAATGTGTGTATGACCAGCATTAGTCTTGATGGAAAGGAAGGTTCTTTTAGTAATGACAGCAGCAAAAAATCCCAGGAAAATTGTAGTCAGTTGTGACAGAAAAAGTGACTCGTGTTAAAGCATAAAGAGGGTAATTTCTTTACATCTCCTGAATGCAGACTTGTTCTGATTAATAGAAATTTCCACTGCAAATACTGTTCTTATAATCTGAAATTAGATAACTTTTTTTTTTTTAGCTTCTGTATTGTTAAAGAAGGGAAACATTTTTGGAAAACTGTGTAAACTAATCCCAAAGTCTTACGTGTGTTTAAATGTACCATTCCTAATAAAATAAAACCTTTTTCTGGCTTACTCTGCTATTTTGTCCGGTAATGTTACTGTGGCTGTTGTTCACTTCATAAAATCTTGCAAGAATGATGAGAAGAAAATTTATTTGAAGGTGTAGCCATGTGGGAGCAAGCAAAATGTAAACTAGAAACCAGGTATGACACAGAACAGATGCTGCCTAATAGGAGGACAGGATGGGATTTTACTGTCATAGCCATCAGTGGCTGTTTGAATGGATGGCAAATTGTAGTCTTTCTGCATTCCTTGCAGACAGTTTTGTGCAATACCTTCTTGTCTACCAGTTCAGCAGAAGAACCAACAGCCGAATAGGCCATAGTTGTTGGAGTCTTTCTATATGTAAAATTATTTGTCACTTTTGAAATACGGTTCCAAAGGTTCTTACCTTGCCCAAACTACTTGTTAATCCCTTTCTAGAGCAAGTTAATGCTAATCATGTTCTTTCATGTTTGGCTTGATGGATCTCAATATGCCAGCACTTCAGAAAGTACACAAGGAACAAACAACTCACTTTGCAGAGGAATCTTGTTAGATATGACTGCTGGGAAAGCTGGGTATGCTCAGCTGTGTTAAATATCAGTGTTGCTTGCTTTGGTATTTGTTACATTATCAAAAAATCCCAGAATGTCCAGTGCCTCACCTAGTACTTTTGAGATTGGCAAAGGCATTATCGAAGACCTTGAATGCATCTAACCACAGCACGCTTACCTTGCAACTTGTTTAAACACAGACCTAATGCAGATCTCGATTCTTTCTTGTACAATGTCATTTATCTTCTATAATTTTCTGTTTAGTCAGCAGTAAGATGAATGTTTACTAAAGAACCAGCCTTCCCTTCCCCCCCACATACCTCGAGGTTATAAGAAAGTTAATAGTTGTTGTGATTGCAACTACAAATACATGCAGCTTACTTCTGAACCTAAAGCCCGCTCTACCCATAGAGTTGTGTTGCCATTAATACTGGTTAGAAGTACAGGGACGGTAATTTAAATTGTGTGATTGAACTGACAGTGGTTTAGTGTAAAAACACGCATTTTGGTGTTTGTTATCTGTGCTGGTTTAGTAGTGGTTTAAATGTCTTTGCCAGAACAGTTGCATCTAAGTTAACTCTAGTACTGGTTTCTAAATGTAGCAACAGATAACTAAGGGCTGCAGATTGCAGGGTGGTGGTAACCAATGCGACACAATGGAAATACAGACTTCTCACATTTTTACATGTTCTTCAAGGTGGCAAGCAGTGGCTCTTTGTTCCCCTAAGATACACAAAGGAGTTCAAGTGAGGAAAAGGTGAGCTATTCAAGTACTAAGAATATTTAATCTGATCTTTCTCTGCAGAAAGGTTTGTTTATGATAGATGTGAACTTGGCAGCTTTCTCAATGTTTACTTGAAGGGCAAGGATAGGAACCTTTAAGAGCTAAACAGTTTTCTTGAAGGAGAGGTTGAGTCCCTGGTTTCTAAGCTCTGAGTTGTTTGGTTTGGTATATTAATTTTGGTGCCAGGAGAAGTAATGGATTTCAAAGCCCAAAATTTTACTTACTGTGAACATGACTTCCCCCCCCACCCCCCCCACCCCTGTGGCTTTTTCCATATCAAAAAACCTTAAATCTTTAAAATGTACCTGGGGGAGAAGGTGGAAGAATGGTATCCCCTGCTCCCTGTTTCCTGCTGTGCCACCACTTAATTTTTTTTTCCTATTGTCTTAAAGAGGACAGATTATCAGTAGCAGGTTGGACTTCTTTTGCCTTTAGGAAAAAAAAACACAAATAAAAACCTCAAGCGTAAACCTCAGCACTATCATACCAGGGATTCGTAACAATTTTGCTCAGTCTTCAGAGCAGCACAGCCCTGTTAATACACAGTAGAGTTAGAAATGGAAACTACTGTTTTCATTGGAGTTTAATGTTTTGACCTCACCTGATGTGTAAAATGAGCTACAACTGTGTACACTTAATTGCTTTGATGAAGGACAGCTCATGCCACTCTAAAGTTGGAACAAACCCAGTCCGGAATTTGTAGTTTTAGGGCACTGTGAATTGGTGCAAGGGGGTTCAAAGAGCGGTTCAGCAGCATGGATTAAGTACTTGCTTGGTGGTCAGCAAGTGTAGGAAAGTCTTGAGAGGTAAAGAGAGGGACTAGGGCAAATAGAAGCTGTGAAGGGCGAAAAAAGGCTAAGAAGGAGTTTGAGTTTTGACAGATGTCAGTTTCAATGTCAAGACTGGTACAGATAGACCACATAAGGGAATACAGCCTTTATACTCACAACAACAGTTGAAATCTAGAAGTTTTTTCCAACACTTATATTGAGATATACAAATGTGGGAGGGAGCACATGTGCTTACTTGTTTTCCTTAGGAGTATTTGGCGTTCTGTTGAAAAGCAAAAGATCTAAAGGAATTTTAAGTGTTCCTGTGAGAAAATGGCATCTACAAGTCTGGTAGGTGTCTGGCTTAGCAGATGTAGACTTGCTTGGTAGACTCTTTAGGGAACACATTATCGCTGAAACTTGGCTGAACTACTGTCGTGGTTTAACTCCAGCCAGCAACGAAACACCACACAGCCACTTGCTCGCTCCCCTCCATGGGATGGAGAAGAGGATCAGAAGAGTAAAAGCGAAAAAACTTTTGGGTTGAAATAAAGACAGATTAATGGCACAGAAAAGGAAGAAAATAATGATAGAAGAATTAGCATATACATAACAAGTGATGCATTCACTGACTGATGCCCAGCAAGTTCCTGAGCAGCAGCAGCCTCTGGCCAGCTTTCCCACTGAGCGTGACATCACAGTATGGAATATCCCTGTAGCCAGCTGGAGTCACCTGACATGGCTGTGTCCTTTCACAGCTTCTTGTGCAACTCCAGCCTTCTGGTAGCTCATGCGAAGCTGAAAGACTAAGGACTGCATAAACATTACTTAAAAACTCCTGAAACCATCAGTGTTATTATCAACATTATTGTCATACTAAACCCAAAATACAGCTCTGTACCAGCTAGTAGGAAGAAAATTAACTCTGTCCCAGCCAAAAGCAGGACAACTACTAATGTATTTAAGAAACCAGATTATTTTAGTAATGGAACATTTTTAGATTGCAGTGGAACAGATCATCTATATCAGGTGCTTTAGTTCCAACTTTACAGAGCACAGGAATGCAAGCGCCTCTTTAAAATAACCATAAATAGACTTCTTTAACGTATTAAAGTCACATCTTTTACAGGCAGCATGTTCCAACATCTGATACTTCCCAAGAGAAAGCTAGGAATCATCCTTTCCAAATGGCAAAGCTGCTGCTTCCAGCCCTGCAAAGCTGAAAGGAACAAAGCTCTGAAGTAATGATACATCTACAAGTAAATCTGTCATTACTCCCACCTTTATTCTGCTAACTTGATCCTTGAAAAACAGTTCTCACAAGTTTCTCCTCAGCAAATGGAGGTGGCATAAGACAACACAAATGTCAAATTTATATTAGATTCAAAGGTTCCACTTGTACCTTACAGGTGCAGTTGGGCAATATGGATGATAGATCTGCTCTAGAGCAGCTCGCTGCTGGCAAGACAGGCTGCTATCCCTGTGCCTGCCCTTTGTTTTGTGCTCATCCCGTCCTCCAGAAGCCAATCCAATTACATCACAAAAGTGGGTACTCTGGGTCCCTTACAATACTGCTTTTTCCAGTGTTCCCTGGGAGGGAGAAGCTGGAATTAGGACCTGGGGTATAACTCCCCTGTGATCCTTCTGTTTGCCTCCCTCAGAAACACTGGTATGCTGGTTTTCCTGACTTCATAGAATAGTTAGGGTTGGAAAGGACCTTAAGATCATCAAGTTCCAACCCTCCTGCCATGGGCAGGGACACCTCGCTCTAAACCATATCACCCAAGGCCTCGTCCAACTTGGCCTTGAACACTGCCAGGGATGGAGCATTCACAACCTCCCTGGGCAACCTATTCCAGTGCCTCACCACCCTAACAGGAAGGAATTTCTTCCTTATGTCCAATCTAAACTTCCCCTGTTTAAGTTTTAACCTGTTACCCCTTGTCCTATCACTACAATCCCTAATGAAGAGTCCCTCGCCAGTATCCCTATAGGCCCCCTTCATTCTGTTCTCCAAGCAGTCAGTCTCCAAATGGAACACCATCAGTCTCCTCCTGGCCAGCATTTCTTGTGCTTCTCTTACCATAGGACATTTTCATCTCAGGGGAAGCCTTATGCTACAGCAGGTAACTGCTTGCAGCACAGGACACAGCTGGAAGTGGATCACTGCAATTAGTTGCATTTCAGTAATTTGCTACATCCCATCCCCAAATTAAGAGTGTATTATCTGTGATGTTAGTGGCACTTGTTATTAATTACATTTTTATCCACTTCATCCAAGGGTATCCCAGCAGTTTGTGAAGATCAACTTTATTCTACCTGGCCACATCACGGCTCTGATTTACAGAGGACACAAGGAAGGTGAGTGGGAGTTATTTGCTGCGGGTGCAGAATGCGGACGTGCCCGCACGGTCCTCACCTGCCAGGCCCGCGCCGTCTATCGGCTGTGCTTGCTGCCGCAGCTTGTGCAGCCACGAAAGGTGCCGAGCCCCGGTTTGCTCCCGCTCAGGACTGAAAAAAAGTGTCTCTTGTAAAACTGAGGCGAGGCTGCAGCGCGCTTCCGAAGAGGAAGCAATGCCTCAGGAATCTGTACCCGAGGCGCCCTGCCACTGCTCTAGCAGAGGGTCCAGGACGATGAGTTCTGAGGCGGGAAGCTCTCCGCTCTGCCCGCTTTTCCTGCTGCATCCCAGTACAGTTTTGGAAGCGTGTAATTTCCAGCCTGTTTCCTTCATTCTCCCTCCTTAGCGATTTCTCGCCAGAAGACGCAGTGACCTGTGCATACAGTACCTGAGGACACGTTTCCCATGTTACCAGCCCTGCAGTCAGTTAACCCCCCACCCCCTCTGGAAACCTAGAAGACAGTCGTTAGCCCTCCCCCCCTGGGGGCGATTTACCGGGACAAAAACCTTGATGAGCTGACAGTTACGCCTGAAGGAGGGCTAAAGCCGGGGGAGCGGCACAAGCGGAATGCTCTAAGCCTGCCCTCTTAAAGCGGGGGGGGGACAAGAAGAAACGCTGACTTCACGTAAGGGAGCCATTCAGGCCTTGGATAGAGCCAGAACCAAGAGGAAAGTGCAAGGGTTAACAGGCTGGGAGCCTGGGTTAGAAACAAGGCCAAATTATAAACTGTAGTGAAACACTAGCTAAAGGCAATTCTGTATGTCTGGGTAGTCTCAAGATGTTCAAAGGACAATCAGTGCTATCGATTTGCTGGGCCTAGGACCCTGAGGGTGTGATGAAGGAAAGAAGAGTGCATGGTAAATCCTTCAAGATTAAGGAAGGGCTTAAAATAAAAGACAGCGTTTCACTGGTAATGATACTTCTGTGTTGTGTGATGGCTTTTTCCTGTAACCAGGAATGAACTTCTTCTGCCCCTGCTCTCTCCTTTTCCACTCTAGAAAACCCTTGTGCTGTGTGGCCATTTAGCAGTGGTAGGTTGACCTGGAAAGGTGAAGATCAAGATGCCTTAGAGTAGATATTTCATTTCTGACCAAGAATTGTGGGTATGTAGGTGTGATACATCACTGGAGACCCCAACATCAGGTTCATCAGGACCCTGCATGCACGCTGGATGTGTTTAACCCAACAACCAGCTTTCTGGTGTCTTAAGGCAGCTGATTTTTCCTTGCCTATCAAAGACTCATGGGTATTATTACTCTGTGGTTCATAGAGGTAAGATGTAGCAGGACACTCTTTTAACAGAAGTGAACATCCATTAGTAAAGCTAAAGAGCATTCACTTAAAAAGTTAAATACTCCTGCTGTAGAGCCTTGAAAGCAGAGGTACCCCAAACTGCTGATAAATTTGGGCCAGATTTTAGTTGATGGGTAGGGCGGTGGTGGTGCAGTGTACGCTGGCTCTGCAATGCCTGGAAACAGATGTAAAGAAAAGATATACAGGGAAAGAAAGGAAACTGGGTGAAATATTTGCATTTCACATCTACAACTGAAAGAATTATTACCCAAACTCAGTGAGGCCCCACTCACCGCTGTAACTTCTGGTTGGGATATCTCGAAGTGCCTCAGGATATGGGGAGTCCAGGCCAGCAGCATTCCAGAGGCCAGACAGGGCTCCCTGAAGCAGGCTGTGCCATGGCCTAGGCTTAGGCCATGGGCAGTTTGCCCTTCTGCTGGTGCTGACCACCAGAGAATCAGTATCTGGCTTCTCTAGGCAGCCTTGCCCTTCCATGCCTCTGGCCAAAGGTGGAATTTACCCTAGCTGGAGTTAAGCACATCTAATGCTTCAGCCTGAAGTGCTGGTTTTGACTGCACTTGGCTTTGTTCCTTCTCTTTTTCCCAGTAAACTTTCAGATGGCACTGGCTGTTTAACAAAAAGTATAAGCAAGCAGCTCTGCAGTTTCTTAGACACATGGCCATTACCATGTTCCCTGCATCGCTGCCAGTTCCTGTAAATGCCTAACTGAAAAGTCTTGTGCTCCAAAATACAAGTTTTCTTCTTGTTTAAAAAGGTTCTGCATTCTTTTCTTTCCAATTGTCACAGCCCATTTCTAGCACTGTGCAAGAACCACTACTGATCATACAGACTGCTCTTTCAGGTTTGCCAAAATGCTGGCTGCAAGCTTTCTGCCCACACCTGCCCTCCATTTTGTTTCAGTTTGCTTTACCTTTTCCCAGTTATGGCACTTGTATGGTCTAAAATCCACATTTTCTGCCCATTGTACCTACTCTCCTGAACTTTTTAGTCCAGTAGCTTGTACCTCTTATCCTCAGGCACCAAAATGATCAGATTGTGCAGTATTTCCCAGCCAGAACGGATGATAGTAACTCGAGATCCCGAATCACTCAGAGAACACCTCACGAACTACGAGCAAGCTGCTCAGCAGACCTTGAAACTCAGCATTGCGCACTTTCCTGCCCTACATTTGCCTGTACTACCTGAACACCAGTAATAGCCATATGCGGAAAAAGAACGTGGTGTGATTTATGCTTGTACTCATGGTGAAGACGTTGTGATGTTATGTGGCAGCTGATGCTGTATCCGAGGTGTGTCTAAAGCTGCCCCATTTGCTTCTTCACCATGACAGTGCAGTTTACTAACAACGTGGTTTGCCCAGCACATAAGCAAGCAGATCTGAGGGCACCTACAGTGTATCCCAGAGGGAAGTTTTAGAACCATTTATTATCAGATGGCTGCCATGAAGCATACGGGGCACTCACAGCATGGCTGCATGCTCTGCTTTCAAAGCGCACGCAGCTCTCCGACAGCTCTTGCCAAGAACCCGTCCGCCCTGAGCACAGGCACCACCCCCCCCCCCCCCCTGCTGCTATGGCCGTACCGCCCTAAGGGGGCGGGCAGAGCCCCGGTAGGGCCCCGGCAGGGCTTGTTCCCGCCCTGCCGCAGCGCAGCCCCTGACGGCCGCCATTTGCGGCACGGCTGCGGCCGCCATGGCGCAGGTCGGCATGGCCAGAAGGTGGCGCTGTGGCACTGCCTCAGGGAGAGAAGCCGCCGGTTTAGAAGCAGCTTGCCACATCCGTTCTAAAACAGTCCCTCTGCTCCGAGCCATCGCCTTGGTGGAAACAAAACGCGCACACGCACACACACACACACACACACACACACGCAGACCGATAACACCACCCTGACTAGAGCAGGGAAACTCCGTCTTGCCTCCCTCGTGTGGTTTCTGCACGCTCATCTGCCAGGGGAGCGGAAGGAAAAGGGGGGTGGTGGTAGCTCAAAAATCAACTCAAGGGCTGAGGCACGTGCAGGTCCCTCAAAGGACCATGCAGATACCGTGTGTCCCATCCCGCCGACTCCCTGGCACTGCCTCAGGCCCTTGGAAGTCCCCCTATCATGAGGGCCACCATGAGGACTGACCTGAGGGGCTGTGGACCAGCCACAGCCTCGGGGTAGCTCTCCAGATCCCACAACAGCTTCTGAATGACCCAGAGGTACAGCTTCACCAAGGGCCCAAGCTGCTCACCTTTGTGAGTCTGGCGGAGCAAGGGAGGCAGATGGAGAGGTTGAATTAAGATCCAGATACTAAACTGCAACGGTAAAAACCACAAACCAACCACCCAGGAAACCTACACAGACTGGTCTTGAGAGGAGAGTGGTTAGCAAGGCTTAGCAAGAACTTACAAATGCTCCTCTTCTGCACCACACTGAGAAGTGTAAAACTGTGTGCTGAGGCACCAGGAGCCCCTCCATCCTCCTCACCACATAGGTGTACCCACCAGAACTGCCCAGGACTGGGGCTACACCCTTCTACCATTGCCCTGTTTCTGGCACCAAATGTTGCCACTCCCCCAAAGGAGTCTGGTAACAAAGAGGCTGCAGGAAATAGCTTTTGGCTTGGTCTGGAGAAAATTTCTTGCCGTCTAGGTGTGACTTAAGAGCAGAATGTTTTTCTGCTGTGTTTTACCACCCAGAGCCCTGAATCAGCCCTCTCCTAACAGGGCTGTTATTCCCTGGAGCCTGCCCCTGGGGGCTGGCTAGGGGCTCTTTCCCCAGGTGTGCCTTTCCCTGGCCCACTTCAGAGGTGTCTGGCCTTCACCAAGCCAACCCCCCAAGGCAGCCTCTCCACACTCCAGCCTTCTGCCAAGCTTCAGGGCTCCATCAAGGCTACCCCAGGACAGCATCCCCCAGCCCAGTGAAGGCACCCAGTCTTATGATCAGTCCTTTTACAGCAAGGGGATTCAGCTGGCTTTCTTGAATCACCCCTGTTACCTCGGAGTAGAACCAGGTTCTGTGAAGTGTTTCTCATTTAAGATAAGATTCCTCTGCTTGAGGGCTTGAGGCTAGAACAGCCAGACTCCAAACTCCTGGAGGAGCTCCCAGATTACCTGGACCCCTGTAGTGTGGCAACAAGGTGGTGAGTTGCTTAACTGTCTGTGGTCCAGAGAAGGTGGCAAATCTCTGGTCTTGGATTTCCCTGATCCAAGGGAAAATTCAAGAAATCCAGCATGTGCTGCCTTGTCCTCCTAGTACCCGCTGGACTGAAAAGCGGGAATACAGAAGTGCTAATGCGCTCCCAATCAGCCCAAATTCCCAGGGGCATTACTTTTTCAGGATTTGCAAAGCCTTGGGCAAACAGCAGAGAGTGTTTTCAGCAGTCTCCATTTCATCTGGGTTAACAGACTTTGTTGGTTTCTCCTCAGCTTAACAGTGATGGCCACCCATTCAGAGCTCTGTTCTCGTGGACAGCACTGGCAGAACTGGCAATGCTCTTTCTCCTCCTACAGTTCATTGCTAAGGCACCTCCATCATCTGACATCCACACAGTATCATTGGCCTGCTAGCAGCCATCTCCCTGCCTCCAGGGGGAGAGGCACCTAAGCCTCAGACCACTTAGAAGAGTTCCCATCTGCATCCCCTCCTCTGCATTCTGGGTTCATTTGCTTTCTTTTTTTCCTCAAGAATTAGGTTCAGGCCATTTTCAGCTCCAAGTTTTCCAAGAATAAGCATGAAAACGAAAGGTAGTGTTTGGGAACTCTCAGGGTATTCAGACAAACACTTCCCACCATTTAATTTACTGAGAAAACTCTCCACTGTGGAAAGCTTTTCTGGTCTTCAGTATCTCTGAGACTTTTAGTGTCTTCTTAGGGTGAGACCGTCAGTGGGTGCTTGCCCCACTTCTCATTTGTGACTGAAGCACACTTAAAGAGGGCAGGGGAAGTGGCCACTTATACCAGGGTGGGAGGGAGCTGCCTGCACTTCAAAGCTCCTGAGGTTGTCCACAGCAGGAAGGGCTGCTCTGTGACGCTGGGGCATGAGGCAAGTCCTCGACCAGGAAACAGCGAGGCCAATGGGATGTTAAAGCTGTGCGTGTGTCAAAAGCAGGACGGAAGTGTTGTAGGGGGCAGCCCTATTTTTAGCCACTTCTTGGAGAACTTTGCTAGCACTTGCTGGAGTCAGCGGCTGCTTCCCCTTTCCTTGATGTAAGCAGCACTGACTGGGTTCAGATCTGTTTTTATTTAGCCACTCACACAACAGTATTGACTGAAAGGTCACTCCAGCTCCTTGGACTCAAAAACACCCATGGTTAGAGAGTCCTAGGTAAGAAGAACAGAAAGCATCTGACACTTCCCTGTCTCCATTTCAGGACTGTGAGAGGTAGAAACTGAAGCTGAGGCTGCAGAGCGTGACTCTTAGTCACATCAACGGGGGATTTTGCAATACAGCCAGTGCAGGGCACAGGGCAGGCAGTGTGCAAGCAAAACTGAAGTGCTTTGCAACGGCATTTGATTGGGGTTCTCCAGCTGCAAGGCCAGAGTATCACTGTGCAACCCTCACTTGTCTGCTCCACTTCAGCCTGCGCAGCTGCCTGAGGTTTGGAAGGGTATAACACACCTCAAATTAGCGTGGGGCATTGTGGACAGCAGTAGGTTGCCATGAATGTCCTCTGCGTGGTTCCTTTTAATATTTGTCAGTATTAAATGATTCCTACACCTGCTGTAGGGAAATGCATGGGGAAAGGCCATTCCTGAACCAGACTAGAGAGTTCAGGCAGCAAGGCAGAAGAGCAGCCACTGGGATGGAGTGTGTGAGCTGAGATGTGACTCTCCTGTACAGGCTGTAACCACCAAGACAAGTTCCAGACTGGTTCCAGTTGTCAGGAATTTGGATCAGTTTGACTTGCAGTATTCAGTTCAGGGACAGGTTGGGAAGGACGGTGTTCAGGCCTTGGTAGCCAGCACTTGCTGCTGGTCTCAGCAGACCTGGTCCCACTGATTATTGGTGGAGAGGAATGAGATTGCTGTAGGGATGAGAGAAATGCATATTTGGAGCCAAAATAGATATAGTTCTGGGGCATTTCCAGAGCAAACTCCTCACAAGCCTGGCAGCTCTAAGCAGTAGCAATGGGATGAGCAGGTAAAAGTCATGCTCACTCTGTGGCTATAGAGCTTGATGTGACTAAGAAGGCAACACAGAGCCCTGTCCCATACTCAAGTCTTCCTGCTATAACTCCTTCAAAACCACACATTTAATACCACTCCCAGAAGCCTAGAGCTCCCCAAAGCCCCTCAGATATCTCTGCAAGGCTATGCTTTGTATCTCATGTTTCATACTGTCCTTCAGCCCTATGGTGGACACATTCATTATATAGCCTATTCTTAAGCTGGATTGTTTAAGGCAGAATACACAATTCTTGAACGAGAGATGTTGATTCAGGAATGGGAAATTCTTTACAAAGGGGTAATAAGGGTAACAGGTAATTGCCAGTGCCATTGCTGTCCCAGGGAATGTGCTGGAAAGTCACTGTGGCCTCTAGGTGGCAACGGTATTGCTCATGCACCACAATGCTGAAAAATACAGAAACGCCTTCCTTTTGAAAACGGAGCATAAAGTGTGAGACAGGCCTCACACTTTGCAGTTCAGACAAAACATATGGGCAGGTAATACTGCATTGAAACAGACTGGATTTGTTTGTTGCTTTTTTTTTGTCCCTTCTTGTTTAAAATGAGGACTATGGATTTGATCCTCTCTGGACTCCACATTACCTGTAAAGGACCAGGAATTGTTTCCTGGGAATTGACCCTGACATTTGTGAAGTTACATGGAAGTCAAAGCCAAGATGCAGTAGCTCCTTTAGGCCTCACACTTGCACACATTTGGTGTGTGCTTTGTCTGATGTGCCAGCAGCTCTCCTGGGGTCAGACCCAGCCCCTCCTCAGTGCTCAGAAGGGTCAAAGGCTTTGCTGCTATACTTGACTTTCAGGGATACAGGGCTGTAAACTTCGACAGAACCTAAACCCTACTTTGCCAAAGCTATTTGTACAGTAAATTGCTTTATTGTTTTGATAAAAAAAACGCAGCCAGGCATTTAATGACTCCCATCCACAGCCACTCTGTGTGATAGACTTTCCAATTTAAGCTTTGAATGCTTCGCTTCTTTTTAAACATGGGGATAGAAAGGGAGAGTTAATATCCCTAATGTTGATAGATGTATCTTCATGCTCTTTCTATTTTAAATGAGATGAACTAGCCTTTTAAGGGAGAAGAGTCATAACTATCTATTTGTGGGAATGGAGATGCTGGCAGTGGGAATCATGGGAATCTATCAAAGCTGGCTATTAGCAGAAAGTGTTAATAGATTGTCTTTCTAACTGACTTAAAAGTTACTTAGTTGACCCCATTTCTGTATTTGTGTATTTCCTGAGAACTCAAGTCATTATTTCTTCCATCCTCGCAACACACTGAGAGCTAAGTAAGTGCCATAGTCTAAGAGGGAACTCAGGCTGTCTACCAGACTTCAAAGTTGTTTGGTATCTAGGGATGGGAATAGTTACATGTCCAACCTGCACTGAAATCAAAAGGTGGCAGGAGGAATGCCCTTTTGTAATCCAATTAGGCACTGTGCCGGCATCTTAAAGTGCCTCGATACTTGTAATTCTCCTCCCTAGCCGACCTGTGGGAAGTGTGTATCACAACCCAGCATTAACAAAGTGCACACATAAGGCAGATGACATCCACAGGGTACAGAAATGTGACATTTTTTAATTGATATTTGGGGAAATGACAATAAGATAGGAAGAACATTCCCTCAGTGTGTAATTCTGTTATGCCAGTGCCCAGTACGAGTGATGAGCCTTGAAGTGGAGCAGAGCTGTCTTGGTTGTTGCTCAGGGCCAGCAAAGCTGCGGGCTCGGGAATGCACTTCTCATGTTATGGGCAGTTGTCAGATCATGGTCTTCTCAGAGGTGGGTTATAGTCTTCCCAGTGCCAGGAAGGAGCAGAAAGAATAAATATATGAGAAAAAGGGGAAACAACCTTAAACATATAGAGGTTTATGTTGTGGGTTTGTTTTTGTTTTCCCCCGCTTTAATAAAGCAGAAGAAAATTTGCAATAAATTTATGGGCTGATTTGAGTCCTACTAATGCTCATGGAAATCCCTTTAGTTAGAATTCTGGGCCAGGTCCAGGAAAAGCAGGTTATTATTCCCTTTACTTTTATTCATCCATAACTGTGCCCTTCTGCATTCAATCTTGTTGTTTATATCTTGCCAGTAGATTTAATGTGAACCTCATCAGCAGTGGGCCTGAATAAGACACTGGGATAAGCTGCCTCTTAACTCTGACCCAGTGTTCCCAGAATGGTAGTGGTAAAGGAGAATGCCCCTGACACAGAAGGTAGCTGTAGCATTGACCAGAGCATCCCGGTAGGATCTCCTATGGTAAGACCCAGCTAATAGGTATGTGAGTTCTGTCTTGCAGTAAAGTGCCCTGCCAGATGGGTGAATTTAGCACACCGAAATCAGAACAGCTCAGTAAAATGGTTTCTGCATGAACAGTTCAATCAAAGTATCTGTTTGGTTGTGGTCAAAAACGCAAATTAAAACCCCTTTGGGATAGACAGAGAATGGACCAGAAAATGGCCTTCTGTTGCCAGGACCAGAACAAAGCCAGGCACCTGGAAGCAATCTCTCTCACAACCTGGGAGACTGGAGATGAGAGGAAACAGGTTCCAGTCCTGGCTCTGCCAAAGAGTTTCTGGGTGCTTTTTTCAATGTTCTGTTCCTAAATCTGTGCATCTGCCACAGAAGAAGTCCATGAGAAAATTCAGCTGTTGTTTCAGCTCCCTAGGGACAGGGGAATGCTTCTGGGGAATTTTGCACTTGCATCACTCTACATCTGTGCTATCTTCAGTAAAAGTTTTTGGGTTTGAAAAGCCAAGAGTACTTGTGCTGCTGGTAAGGACATAGTTTCTCTATGGACCAGGCTCTTCTCTGCTGTTTGCAGAGCAGGACTGTGGTGTGAACACTTAGTGAGATTGGGCTTGAAGCTAAGCCTGAACCCTGAGTTACCTATAAATAATCGATCAGTACTTGGGAATTCACATTGAAGGTTATATCTAAAATACATCCACCCATATTAAAAGCTTGGAAATACGATTTTGGGATAACTTGCTAGCCTTCCTTTCTTTCCCTGTCCTGCCTCTCTGCTCTGCAACTACAACTAGGATACCACAGGGTGTGTGGGCTCAGCCTAGACTGAATACATCCTTGGGGACATAGTTTGGGGTTTTGAGCCACAGGGTACTTACAGCTGTTCCTGGCCAGGTTACCACTCACACATCCCACCAGCTGGTTGTTGTTCTGTGATGTTTGTGTGCTGTACAATGTATAGAGTGGGGGCTTGTGATGCATGAACACAGAGTTCCTGTTGAGGCACAAGGAAAGGAAGATTGTGGTGTGCCCCCAGAAAAGGAAAGAGAAGTTGCACCTTCAGTCCTCTTGTGATATGAACAAAACCACCTCTCAGGTCCCAGGAAACTGAAAGCTGCTCCAGATCCACCCTTACGTGAGAGAAAAACACACCCCATGCCTCTGCCTACATGTGGCTGCAGGTTCCTTGCCACAGTCTAAGCCAGCCCTGCCTGATGATGTGGCCCTTGGGTGGTGTGACACCATGCTTCTGGAAACAGTGCTGTCTGGGCCAGTGCTGGAGTGGGCTTCCTCAGCTTCCTTTTCTGCTGTGTGCTGCCCCTGTGAAACAGCCTCCAGCCGTCTGGAAATTCAGCATGGCTCTTCATCTGTTAAACAGTTTTATATTTCTAATGGTTACACAGCTCTGTTGTAAGCTTCCCAATACCTGCCTCAAGCAGATTATCTGGGTTATTCCTCCCATGCTAATCTCTGTGATCTGTGGCATGCATACAACATCGACATGAACGGGACCTCCCCTCTGCTGCACTGTATTTGCCAGAACAGGCATAACACAAGATAACTGGATTTGAAACAATCAGAGCAGGAAGCAGCAATAACTGGCCTGGAGGGAAGGCAGGGAGTTGCCCATAGACAGTTTTTTAGGAGGATGGCCACTTGGTGATATCTGATCTCTCTCCACGCTCCTTTAGCCTCACATACAAAGGCTTGTAGGATCATCCCTCACCTCCCGGGCGGGCGTGAGTGCATGAGTTTAGGTCTGCCCCATCGTCTTTTTAGTTGCAGTGTTTTTTGTGTGGTGACACATATATTGACCTATGTGTGCACATGATGAAGACCTCCAGAGCTGCACCTGGTGCTGACACCAGTGTCATTGCCACTGATGCTACTTTGTGAGGATGGATAAGGTGGTGGATGTTCACATTATTTTTTCTTCTGGAGCACATGGACCCCAAGGCTGGCTCTGGCACAGCTGATGCTTCCCATGACCTGTACCCCACAGTCTGTATACAGTGAACACGGCATCCGGCTGCCCAGTCAGGACTCTGTGTTGTGGGGATCAGGACAGGCCAAGGCAGGCCTGCAAGCACCCTTGCTGACGAGCTGATGGCTTAGTCACCAGGGCTCTCCACAGAGCCATGTAAACACTACCCACAGTTCCCTGCCTCAGCCCTTGCCACCGGGCTCTGCTGGAGCCCCATCCTTGTGCTCCCTGTGCCGAGGGTCACGAGCTGGGACCAGCAGCTGGGTGCCAAATGCAGGCTGTAGCTTTGTGCAGCTGGTCTGCTAGAGGTCGTCACACGCCTCCTTAAGCAAACAGGGATCCATGCCAGTTGATAAATCATTTACGAGGAGAAGTCAGAAGCAAAGAACTAGATTAACCAGGTCACTGGGTGTCCTGAGGGAATGACGTGTCAGTGGAGCTGAAACAGCAGATCCCACAGTTGCAATCTCTTGCCGCCTTCTGTCCTGACAGCAATTCATGGAAATCCCTGGAACTAGACACCAGAGATGGAAAAACCCATTAGCTCATCCCAGTCAGTTCACTAGTTAAAGCAGTCACTCCCATTGTACAATTTCTGGCAAAGTTAAAAATGTCTCAGGAGAGGGGATTTCCACCAGTTCCTTCTCAAGGGGAAACTATTCCACCTATCAGGAAGGCTGCCTCAAGCGGTGCTATTTTTGCAAACCAGAAATAACTCCAGAACCTGAAAGAAAACCAAAAATGATTCTGTTGCAGGAACTGGGGCAGTGATGTTTTTCTGCCTGAACAGATATTTGCCATGCAGGGCACAGCTCCAAATGGAAACTCTGTATGGACATGTGTGTTTACACACAGGCACAGAGGTGTGCTCATGTGTGCATATATACACCTGTGTCCTCTCTCTCCTTCCCAAGGGTAGGATGACTTTGTGTCTTCAGCACAACCAATGTGTTGTAGTATGAGCTCACGCCTAGCTTGCACTTGTGTAACCAACATCAAGGCAAAGCACACTGCTGTGAGGTGGGAAGACACACATGGAAGACAGGATGAATCAGCTGGTGGTGTTTCTCCAGCAACAGTTGGGGGGAGAACTGTGACACCACCACTGCAGGGGGCTCTGTGGCTGAGCACGTTGATGGCTGAAAGCACTTAGGGCCTGCAACAAGTAGGCAAGATGATGCAATACAGAGCTGCTCTCTGAGGTTGTCAGCAGAGGCTATGGAGATCTTGGCAGCTAAGCTTTTCAGCACCTGGGAAGCACTTTGGGACAGCTGGGAAATAAATAAGCTGTGTGATGGCATTTAAAACCTTATCATTTGTTTCAGAGTTAATTCTGCATTTAGATGAATGGGTGTAGCACACATCACCGAGCTGGAACCTGTAGCGATAGCAAGGGTTGTTCCCTGTTCCAATTCAGAGAGCTTTCGGCCAGCAAAATAGTAACTTGCAGTGTTGGTGGCTTAGGTCTGGGAGCAGAGATCTGTGGCTAGGGTAGGCACAGTGGCAATGCCAGCAGCAAACAAGCCCCCAGGACTCTGATTACTAGTGCCATGGGTGTTGGCTATACACCTCTTACGGGAAGAAGGCGGGGTGTTGCCTAGGCGTCTGCCCTGAATTTGTGACTCCTCCACTAGCTGTTTTATTTGTCTCTCACAGCTGGCACACTGTCTTCCCCGCTGGGAACTCCTGAAATTGAGGCACTGTGTTTTGCACTGTTCTAAGGATTTGACTTTCACTTCCCAGCCATGGATGCCAAGGCTGCCCTCACAAGCACCCTGTGCACCCCTGTGTTGCTGCAGGACAGCTGATGAAGCCTGTAATGAACTTACCTAGTTTCAGCCTGGGCTTTCTTCTCTGCAGGGTTTTTACTTTGTTCTGTTTATCACAAAACACACTGAAGCATGCATAAGGGCTATAAAAGAATTACATGACTGTGGAAAAGGATCTAACCAAGGAGGCACAGGTCAAATTCTGGCCCTTGACTGGGTCCCTTTAGCTGCTGTCAGGTACTGGCCAGTTGACCTACTGAGCTCATTGCCCCTTGCACTGTGAAAGGATAAGAGCAGGTAGAGCCCAGTAACATTTTAACTATGAGATTAACTCTCTGCCATTTCAACAACAGGGGCTCTTCTGTTTGTGTGGATGAAAGGTGCTGACTCGAGGCTCTTCTACACAGCAGCCCATGCTCTCCTGCCACCCGTCACAGCACTGGCTACCCTGCCTTCCTCCACATCCTGAAAACTCTGGTTCAACCCTCAGTAAGGAAAGGAAACCTCAACTCCAGGGACAATTGTCCAGAAAGGTGTCATGACTCTTTATAGGCCAGCACCGTTTGGCTGGCACTTAGTCCCTTAAGGAGGGCCAGAGGAAGAAGAGCGAGCCATCCTCCTTCTAGATGCTCAAGAGATTCTTCTGCCTCTCCATTTCCCTGTAGCTGTAGAGTCCCAGCACACCCCAAAACCACTCACCATGGTAGAAGAGATGTAGGGAGGCCTTTGAACAGTCCAGGTACTCAAACACATTTCCTTCCCACTCCCAAGTCCTTCTGAGACCCTAATCTCTGATACCTGGAAATTAGTGGGTATTTTGCTGTTTCTCTCAAGAGGTGCAGTAACAGCTCCTGAGAGATGGGTCCAAAGCTCACAGAAATCAAGGAGAATCTCTCTGCAAACTTCATTGTGGTGGTGGAAACCAGTTTTGCATGTGGCAAGGCAAAAAGCAACACCAGCTGAATTGGAACGACATGTTACAAAGGTGATATTAAACAGAAGGAAATAGCGAGCGATTTATTTAAAAATAAAAGTTACGATTCATACAGGGAAATCTAACCTCCCCTCTTGTAACATGAGGCTGGTTGTGGCAGCATCCTGCAGGGCCTGAGCAGCAGACAGACAGACCCATCTCAGAAAGTGGAACTGACTAATCTGAGTCATCTGGGATGAATTGGACGTGAGTGAAATCATGCCCCATGTAAACAGTGTGAAAAGCAAACAAAGATGATAAGGAGTGGGGTATTGTTCTTGATTCTGTCTGAGAGAAGATCTTAAATAGCAAAATAGAGCAAACAGTGGCAACATGTAGCCCTGGATGTTCAGCTGTGATGAGACACTGAAGGCTCAATTTCCTGAGTGCTTGTATTGAGCCACCTTCAGGAGAAGGCTTAGTTTCCAGTAAGTGCTCAGCACTCAAAGACAACCAGCCTCACTGGAGAACTGGGACCATGATCTTTACCTACTGACCATATACTTTGAGAGTGATTTCCAGTGGAGAGGCAAACATGTTCCTTCCACTGCCTCACAGAGCCATCTTTCCTACTTCAGCTGTTTGCACCCGGACTGCATGGGGCAGAAATTAACCCAGGTTCCAACAAAGAAAGCGGGGAGCCCCTGCCCAACGTACAGATAATTTGTAGATCTTTGCAGTGTGGTGGGATAAACCAACACCCTGGTTTTGGGTGTGTGTGTATTTGATGTGGTTGGAGAGCACATGGTCACCGATTTCTAACTGCCTACCTGTGTTCTGTGTGTGTCCTTGCGTTAGTTTCAGGCATAATCACATCGTGATATCATAATAATATATCGCACTGTGATGACACCATTGCATGGAGTAGGCCACAGCAATCTGATCGCATTCTGCAAAAGTAAAGATGAGCATTACTGCTTCATAGGACAAGTGGGTGGCAGGTAGATGGAGCTGACACTACCTATATTGTCAGCCCTGGGTGGGAACGTGACCTGCTAGGTTAAATTAGGTGGCTAAGAGCTTAACACCTCAGCTCTAGATCTGGCTCAGTGGCTGTGGGTGAGTCACCAAACCTATCTGCATTCACTTCTTCCATCTGTGAAATGGTGACAGTAATATTTCCTCACCTGATGGGGGGAGGGAAGGGAGTGTGTGTGCAAGAATGAATAAATGTTTACAAAGCACCTTGTGAGCAGTGCACAGGCCAGCTCTGGCTGTGCTTAGGAGGAACCCGCGTTGTTCCCTCTGCTCTGGGTTGCACCATACTGTGAGCACGTCATGAGCTGTAAACACTCCCCTCAGAGTCAACAGTTTCAAATAAGAGCAAATGAGATAATTCCTCAGGAGAGAAACAGAGAGTGAAGACTTAATACGTTACCAGTAATTTCAATAAATTCCATTCAAGGCAAAGCAAAGTAACTTTTTAAAATGAAAGAAAGAATAAAGTAGAAAAACAAATAAGCTGTGACCAATTATTTTTTTTAATGGTACTGTGATCTTAGGTTTCACTTCCCAAATGGGAAGCAGAACAGAGAAGTGAATCCCCTTGAAATAAAAGTGAAGTGAATAATGGGACGCCTTTAGCTGCTTGCCACATCCTGTGTATGCTGATTGTTCTGTTTATAGCTGGCAGGAGCCCTTCTAGACCCTTCTTCACCCACACTGACTCTTTGCTGAGCCAAACTATTGTATAAGCAGTCAGGAAAAAAGCTTTCCTGCATCTCCCCCCCAGCACCACAGTGCCACGTGTGCTGTCCTGTACTGATTCTCACCTCCCCTCCCTTGTGCAGGGGTGCTTGTGTGCACACCACTGTTCCTTGGCCCTCCTGCCAGCACAGACCCATACTCCCCATGGCTGGCATAAGTGAGCACTCGTGCAGCCCTACCTGCCATTGTGTAACCTGCACCTGGCCCAGCACACACCATTTCTGCTGTAGCCTGGGATGCTCACGCAGCTGCATGATGGCCACTCAGGTTCTTGTTCGCATGTTCACTAGCACTTGTTCTCATGCACATACACAATTCCTTAAGTGAACACAAACTCATACACACACACAAACATGCATGATCTCCCTAGCCTAGTATAGGCACTCACCAATGCACACATCCACACAAACACCTATTTTTGCTTTTTCTGGTATCAAAGAGATATGGAAAAGCATGCACTTCATACATGCAAACTGGTCGTAACATTGGCAGCTCAGCTATGAAGCAGAGTTACCCCCCCTCCATAGCAATGTTATTGCAACAGTCTTTCCTCCTGGGAAGAGCTCTGTGGCTGAGGGTTCAACTGCTTCAGGAAACATGGTTTAGATTGGCATATTCATCACCAGCACAGCTATTTTTATTGGCCCGGTTTAGCCTGGACACAGCTTTTGGTGCATTACTGGCTTTTGCTGCTGCTGTTTTTAATTCTCTTTATACTGCTGGAGGTGACCGTGGGACCCTCCCTTCACCAGCAGACTTGTTCTTTTCAACAGTTTCACTGAAAGAGCTTTTGCCATCCACCTCCTGCTCCCAGCTGGGTCTTCACCAGTCCGCTGGCACTTAGAAATTCTGGTTTGTGTTTTGGAATAGCTGTATTTGCAACACTGTCATATCTACCACAGCCTGAATCTGGGGGGTTTTGATCCATCAACAAAGATGACTGGTCATCTTTGAGCCATGCATCTTGAACACATCTGGTGGGTCAACCAACTGCAGACATCAGTAACATCTAAACCTGTAGATCTGTGGCAGTTCTCCCTCTGTTGTTTCTCTGCAAAGCTTTCT